AAGCGGAACCACTGAGCTCAATCCCCCACCTTAGTGTGTCTTTTATTTAGGCTTTAGACATATGAATTTTGATTAGGACTAGAAGGATTTAAATTTTTCACTGTGTTAATAATATTTCATTTGATGCTGAAGTCTACAAATTAACCTTAAACTTAATTATACAGGCAATTGAGAGTGCTATAGTTTTTGGAAGCACAATATTATAAAAGTCTCTAGTTAAAAATGTAGGAAAACAGTAATTACCATTTGAAAAAGACATATTTATTTGTTTAAAATCTCTCTTAAATTATGTTCATAATAAATGTGAAGGCAAGATATGATGTAAGGCAATACTTTAAAGAGTATTTTTAAAGTCATAGTTTAGTTGATTCATTAAGAAAGTTTGAGCTCCATAGAATTGAAATTGGAGTGTTCTGGATTAGACCTAAGACTTGAGGTATAAATTATATTGGCTTCCAAAGTTAGCATTACTTGACAGATAACAAAATAGAAATATTCATTTTTAAAATGTTCTAGGGCTTTATTTTGTGCAATAATTTTATGCAAATGATATTCATTTTAATTGTGAAAATACCTTCGTTATATATAGTTAGAAAAATTATTTGATAAGAAGAAAATATTAACAGCAGTATAGTTTTTTCAATCATAACAAATATGTCTGTTCTGTTTCCACCACATTTGAACCAAAACAATGCCATTTTTAATTTGATTGTTATATTAGATTTCTGCGAAATGTTTTGTTTAAAGACATGGTTCTTTTTCCAGATAAGACCAAAGGATTGGATATATATCTAATTTTGCTCTTTATTCAACCATAAAAACTACAATAAAGAATTTTGTTTTTAAGAAAACCACATAGAACCTTAGGAACAAGGAGAATAAGAAAAGTGAAAAATCTCAACATAATTTTGGAAGTAGAAAAGCACATGAACCCATGTTAAGTAAGCAGATTGAAAAAGAACAGAATTTCAAGTGAGTACACATCTGAGAGTCAACTGATTATATCATAGAATCCTCAAAAAGCATAGAAATTTGCTATAAAAAGTACATTAATAACCAGTAGTAACATAGCATAATATAGACAGGATTTGTTGAATATAGTTTGAAAATAGTAGGCCTTGCTTTTCTTTTCCATCGCTGGGAACATGCCTTTCAGCAAAGTACTAGGGATTTATTCTCTTTTAAAATGTTTTAAAGTTATTTTTTAATTTACAATATAAATATTATATATACAGTTTAAAATATATTTTGTATACACTTTTGAAGAAAAAAACAGACTCCAAACTAGAGATTCCCAGGTCCAGTTCAAAGATTGAGGTTTAAGCTTAAAATATGGTGATTAAATAACATTAGGCATTCAGAATGCAAAATATACAGATCCCAACTCTGTTAACTGTTGCTCACTGGAATGTTGATAGTGAAAGCCTTAGTCAACAGAAATTAAAAGACACTTCACAGGGGAATCTAACAGGCTCAAAAGTAACTATCCAAAGACAGGGACATTTTGAAAGATTATTTAAGAAACAGCTCAACTGCATTGATCTACAGTAATACTTTAATTAGATAAATGTTCTTCCCAATACACAAAGAACTTCCCAATCTGATTTTAGTTTCCTTGTCATCATATACAGGTAGTTAAAAATTACCAAACTTTTGAAGAAAATCTCTAATGTGAAAGATAGCAATCAAAATAAGCAAGTTGGAAAAAGCAAGTGAGAGAAAAATGTCTTTTCAGAAAGAAAGGAATGTTAGAAGATTGCTAATATCATCAGTGTTAGAAGATATCAGAGATATTAAGCAAGAAGGCATAGAAAGTAAAACATTTTGGCCAAAAATGAAAAACTTGACCTAATTTATGAAGTTGGGGATGACAGAAATAAATAGTAGAGGGGCAAAGATATATTTTCACTCAAAAGTCCAGGAATTGCAAAGTTCAAAGATAGTTATTTAGAGTGAACAAATAAGGAAGGGGGGCAAATAATCAAACAATAGCTTTGTACTTTTTTGAAATTTAAGGACAACAATAACTAAATTGAAAAAGTCAGCAAGATCGTGGAACAGTAGAGAAAGTTGTATCCATGCCTAATTTTGGAATATTTCAGGCTGCTAAAAAAATAATGAGATTATACAATTTGAGAGTTCAAAAGAATCACTTACAAAGAACAAGGAATTTAAATAACTGTTGATTTTTCACAGTACCTTAGGGCAGATGAGAGGGAGAGGGAGAGGGAGAGGGAGAAAGAGAGGGAGAGGGAGAGGGAGACAGGGAAGAGTGTTAGAAGCAAAAGGGATTCCCAGAGGGTAAGCTAAAAGAGAAATCTTGCAACAGTGATTGTGCTACAAAGAGCAAAATGACTCAAATTTCAGACACAATAAGAGGAGTGTCTTAACCAAAATTCTCAATGCCATTATTCGTTCTACCTTTTAAACCTAAGAGATCCTGACCTCCCAGTCCTGAGCCCCACCCTTAATTTTCATTCATTCTTGGCTTGACTTGAGCAAACATTGATGAATTTCTCACACTGTTCATGGCTTATTCTCCAAACAGTTGGATGCTCTTTTCTTTCCCTACAAGGTATTTGGCTTACATTTCTAACAGGTTAGAAAAGAGTTTCAATAAGCCTCATTCAGAGTGCATAGAAAAGACTATTTCTTCTAAACAAAATCATAGCACTACAATCAGGTGCTGTGATTCTGCTGAATATATGCTTTGTATACATCCTTATGCACTTAAATGAATTTTATAATAAACAGTAAAGAGCATTATGCTGCTAAAATACATTGAAATCAGTAACAAAAGCATATTATATCTATAATATATATCACACTGGTTAAGGTTATTCAGTTGAAAATAAGTGTATCTCTTTGGTGTTCTCTTAGTGGCTCAGGTTACTGTATTTAAGTGAGAATTTGAGTGCAAATATGAACTCTTGGTATTTTCCTCTTGGTTAGGATTATATAGTTGTGGTACCCATGGCTTTGTTTATTTCCTCAAGTCCCAGGTCATGCTGCTGACTAGAAGCACTCTCTTTCTCTCCTTACAACTTGAGTGTTGCTCTGAAAAAATAATGCTTATTCCAATACTGTCTACCCAGATGGGAGACTTTCTTTCTTTGTTTGAACTTTATTTTAAAAGTCATTAGAATTTTATCAAAATTAAAATTATCACATATGTACAAGCTCCTAATGTAGGAAAAAATATCTTTTGGTCATAAGGCAGACTCCTTTTAGGAACTGGAAGAAAATAATATTATACATATTATCTATTATGTATTACATATAGAGTTAAAATGTAGAAGCACTTTCATATTTCAAATTTCAT